TGCACTGCAGTGTGGGCATGGGCGTACATGGGTGTGCAAGGCGGGCAAGTGCACTGCAGCGTGGGCATGGGTGTGCAAGGCGGGCACATGCACTGCAGTGTGGGCATGGGCGTACATGGGTGTGCAAGGCGGGCAAGTGCACTGCAGCGTGGGCATGGGTGTGCAAGGCGGGCACATGCACTGCAGTGTGGGCATGGGCGTACATGGGTGTGCAAGGCGGGCAAGTGCACTGCAGTGTGTACATGGCTGTGCATGGGTATGCAAGGCAGGCGCATGCACTGCAGCGTGGGCATGGGCGTGTGTGCAAGGCGGGCGCGTGCACTGCAGCATGTGCATGGGTGTGCAAGGTGGGCTTGTGCACTGCAGCGTGTACATCAGCGTGCATGGGTGTGCAAGGCGGGCGAGTGCACTGCAGCATGGGCATGGGTGTGCAAGGCAGGGTGCGTGCACTGCAGCGTGTGCATGGGCATGCATAGGCATACAAGGCAGGCGCATGCACTGCAGCATGTACATGGGCGTGCATGGGTGTGTAAGGTGGGTGCGTGCACTGCAGCGTGGGCATGGGCGTGCAAGGTGGGTGTGCACTGCAGCATCTGCATGGGTGTGTAAGGCAGGGTGTGTGCACTGCAGTGTGTCCATGGGTGTGCAAGGCGGAGTGTGTGTACAGGAGTGTGTGCAAGGCAGGGTGCATGTGGACTGCAGTGTGGGTGTGCATGTGCAAGGTGGTGCATGTGCACTGCAGCACGTGTGCAGGGATGCGCATGCATGTGCAAGGCTGGGCTGCGGCACTGCAGCGCGTGCAAGGCGGGGCACGTGTGTGTACTGCAGTGTGTGCAAGGCGGGGCATGCTGCGCTGCAGCGTGTGCATGTCTGCAAGGCAGGGCAGCAGCTCTGCTGCAGGTGTAAGGCGGGGCACACTGCATTGCTTGTGCATGCATGTGCAGGGGACACTGCACTGCATGGCACACGTGCATGCCCATTGCGTGGGGGGCACCACACAGTGCTGCAGCCCGTGGGGCCCAGCCCTGCTGGGGCAGGAAGCCAGGTCTGCCCCACAAACATGGCTGCTGCCTCCCAAAATCCAGGTCTGCAGCTGTGCAATGGGGGCTGCGGGGGCCGTGCTCTGCCTCCAGGGACAGCTCCATTTTGCACTCGTCCGCACGAGGGTCAGCAGCGACGCAGGATCTGACAGGCGACCCTTTCACCACCATCGCTTTTTATTGTACAACATCAGCAGGGGCTGGCGAGGGGCTCCCCCCCGGCCCTCCCCAGCCCCACCAG